TGTACTTAAGTACAGTAACGAAGTACTTGTACTTCGTTACTTCCCACCACTGCAAACTACTGTGTCACTTCTTGAAGGTTTCAGTCACACCTTTATGGTTCATAAGATCATTCACACCTTGGTTGAAACGTTTGGGTTCAATACAAACTTGCCAGAGTTGTAAGCAAATAAAGTCCACAGCAGCGTTCCCTCCCTCCCTCCCTCCCTCCCCCGTAAGCATGTCAGACAAAAAGCAGGTAAAAAAAAATTAAGAGCCATTCGCCTACCTGCAGGACACCGTGATTTCAACTTTGGTGGCAGGAATAGACGGGTTCAGCGGGTCGAAGTCGCCTATCGACGCCATGTTTAGGAAAGTGTTGTTCATGGTTTCAGTTTTTGCGAGCTTTCCCTTCTTTTCCGTTCCTTCAGTCCAGCCCCCTTTTTTTTTTTTTTTTTTCTTTACGAGCGACGGAGGAGGATAAATAGCGAACTGTGCGCGCGCCTCCTCGGCGAGAAGTGGAGCAAAGGTGCCACAGAGGAGGAGAGGAATGAGGAGCTGAGAAATGTGATGTCACTTCACTCTTTCTCTCCCCTCCTCTGTGTGCTTATCCCCCTGTTTCCAGCTTTCTTTTCGTGCTCTTCAACCCCCTCCCATCTTTTCCTGGCTCCGTCTCTCGATTCCGATTCACTGCTGTTCAACTGACTTATATTGAGCTAATTGAAATTCAGCTGCCCTTCTGTTTTTTATTGGCGTCGAAGTGGCGACAACGGTACAATCAGCAATAAATCAAAGGGAATTCGTTCTTCATGCAAACTCCTTCCTGTGAGCACGTGCCTGTGTGTGTCACACTTTTCAATGGTCTCATTCACACCAGTTCAATTCATTTTGATTCAGTTCCAGTGAAGGCTGCTGGCTAGAAGCCCCAGTTACCACATTCTCCAGGGCCGACTCAACATTTTTTATGAAACCCAGGGCAACGGTGCACTGCTGCCCCCCCACCACCACCACTCCCCACCCTCAACGTTATTTCATCTTATGCTGGACCCCTCGACTTGCCATAAATTTTTACTTAAAAAATAAACAAAAATCTATCTTCTAGCTAAGTAAAAAGTTTGGATGACAGTAACATTCCTCTAATCCCTGACTTTCCAAGTTAAAATTCCAACTCCAGACAGCGCTCTTATAACTTGTCTCGAAATTTAAAAATCTGAGTGTAAAGAGAACACTGTATAAAACCTTGGTAAAATAAAGGAATTATTTTCTACATGATGCATGTAGAAAATACATGCATCAGGTTGAATGGAGGCTTTTTATTAGCTTGGAAACTGCTGATCTTGAACGGTTCAGTGAGCGACTCGTTTGAAGAGACGCTTCTTTTTATTTTGACACCAAAATGAACGTTGAGAAATGTTGGAGTGGCACATTACGAGGACACTGTTTTCATGAGGGACCTCAGGTACTTTGAGCCATTTCTGGGAATGTCCATGATGTCAAGAGCAATAAAGCCCAGGGTTTGTCTTTTGATGCGTGTTTGCATACAAGTAAACAGAGAAAAAGGAAGGCATGTGGAACATGAACGGATTAACTGAAAGGAAAAGAGAGCGTACTTAATTTAACGTCATCAGGGAGTAAGAAAAACAGAATTTTCCTTTTTCTGGGGTTTTTATTGGACCGCCAAAAAAAAAAAAAATCCTTAAAATAATTTGGGAAAAAGTACAAAGCAACCGTGTGCTTCATCAATTTGCGAGGGTGTGGGTTATGTTTAGATAATAAAGTCACTGGACGGTAAAATAAAACATCCCCTGCATTACTCAGTGTGTTTACTGCGTTTCTAAATATAGCCGTCTCACACGCTCTCTGACACGCCCTGGGTTTGATGAGTAGCATGGTGGTGGTGAAAACCATTACAGCACCTGTGGGCAAACGTCATGCCCCCGCCTTCTGTTCTTGTGGGGGTGGATGAGTTCACTCCTGGCTACACACAGAAGAGGCCAGGAAATTAGCATGGACTCATTGGCTTACTGTATATAAGCATCACTGTCATGAGTCTAAGTCCCAAAGAGAGGGAAAATCACACAGAAAGGATGAAATCATCCAGCCAGTCAAGACAAGATGGGGTTGTATGGGTAACACAGACCTCCCTATGCGTAGGGGCAATATTCACCTGGAATTCCCAAGAAGACATGAAGGTACTTGAACTCAAGTTCTTGAGGGAAAAACTTTCTCTAAACACGGTAAAGTCCACTTTTTTCATATCAACAACCATTGCAGACAACGAGACCTTCATCCTGGTGCCGTCACACTTGGCAACAAACCACTTCATTGCAAGCTGAAGGCCGTTGCCAGAAAGACATCAACACCTGACGATTGCCAAACCAGAGCGACCTTTCCACAAACATAACTTGAGATTCACCAAAAGAAGGAGTGGGAACACGAGGAAGTCCTTAGGAATTCCATCCTGCACTAAAAACAAGCTTGACTTTGTGTAGATGTAGGTCTTTCTATGGGGTGTACAAGGACCGGCTTGTCCTTACAAACACTGAGGGACACGATCAAACAGCCCCTCTTGATCCATAAAACACATTTGAACCGGCCAACCAAACTCACATAATCTCAAGAATTCTGCATTATTAAAGATCTGGTCCACTATTCTAGCATGAAAGCAAAGTGGCTCCTCCTGGATCCGGGGTTCTATAACCGATTGGAGTATCTACTCCAACATGTTAGGTTGAGCTATGGGAACACACTCTGCAATCCCCTTTCTTAAACAATAGGGCAATCACTCCATTTGGCAATCCCCAGGTGTTACCGCTACTAAAATCAGGCCACAACCTTTGGAAGCCAAATTAAACCAAATGGAGGTTTAATTTGAATCGAGTGGCCAGACTTTCCTGGATTCACCTTTAACAGTCACTAAAGTTTACCAGTTAACAACTCTGCTTGTCATAAAATGAATTTGGCCTAAGATTGAAATATACCAAGTACATTTATGGCTCACCTTGTGCTCAATCACAGTGTTTCCATTGGAAACTAATATGCACAGAAGTCCAATTGTGAAAAGAAAAATCGCTCCAGAACAACACCAAAATTTCTTAGTTTTTACCTCAGTTTACACACAAGCACATGCATAAAGTAAATAACATTTACTTAGTGAGAATTTCACTTGTGTTAAAAGTTATTTGATTGTACTCACCACTGTTTGTCTCTGAGTTCAGATACTCCACCAAGGACAGGTGTCTAAGAGGAGCCGGCCAAGCACTTCCTGTTTTTATGAGGGTCATGATGTCATTGATTTCGTCACTGGGCAAAACCAAATGGAGGTTTAATTTCTTTGTATGGGATTATTTGTTGTTGTTAAAGTAACCTTTTGAGCTACAATGAATGGAGTGCTGCATTTCAAAAACAATTTCTCATGTGAGTTTGTAAATTAGATTAATAGTCGTACTCCTGTTTCTTTCTCTTTTTTTTCGATTGCTTTATTTGGTTTTACCTTCTTTCTGACGGTACAAACAACTGATGAAGCTCAGGTGTTTCACACTAATGAGACTTTGGAAGAGCTTAAGCTGGAAAAATGGAAGAGATTTTTTTTTTTTTTAATTATTTTGCTTTCCTTGTAAACAAAATTATTGGAGAATGCAAATCAGAATAAAACCGACCAGAAAGAAACTCCGAAACATTACCTGCATTGTTTTGGAAGTAGCAAAACATTGCAGGAACCTTAATATAAATTTCCTAATTATTCTGAGTAGTTCATTCTGCTAAAACAAACTTTATCCCTCAATTTTGTGATTTAAAAAAAAAAAATCACACTCTGCAGCTCACCCATGCCTAATTGTTGCCTGGGTAAAGACGATGTAGCATGGTGCACTCGCTCGTCTACTCAGTTCAGCTGCAAAACCCTCTTGATTTAACAGACACTGACACCTACATATTTATTACTGATGTGCAATTATACAAAGAGATCCACTGCAGACAGTTCCATTCCTAGAGCCTCATCCTGTCAGCTGGAGCACACGCTTGACCTGCTCACTGTCAGCCGTTTCTCTCTCTTGCTCTCTCAATAATATCCCCCCACCTGATCATCAGTATTCACATCCCACCTCTTTCTTCCAGCTCAGTTTTTTTTTCAAATGAACGTAAAACGGTGAATTAGGCACAGATGCCGGGTCTGGGAAGATGAAATGCAGTCCTCCAATTTCACGCTGAAATCCTTTTGCAGACATGTCACTGATGCTGCTCTCTCACATCTGTGTTGTTGGCTCCTCTGGGAGTGGGACAGGGCTTGGACTTTGGGAGAGCAGCGCCACGGCTCATCGGTTCAAGCGCTGGTATTTTTAGCAGGAGGATTCGCTCGGAGAACGTCCTCAACCACCTGCCTCCGTTACCTTCCCGTTATATTCTATTTCAGTGGCAAAACGGTCGCCATGGCTCCAATCCGTCTAGTAACGAGGGATACTGGAAGCAAGCGTTGAATCTGAAACGAAGTGAACTCGGAGAACTCGTGTCAAGTGCCACAAAAAGTCTTAAAAGTGTGGCTTGCATGTGTTTTTCCATCCTGGAATGAAAAATTCGTAGACTGACCTTTCGTCTGCCATTACTAGATACTTAAATCGCACCAAACCCATTTCTGCATGGGTTTGGTTCAGCATGATGCTGCCACCACCATGGGATAGTGTGTTCAGGGCGACGTGCAATATTACTTTTATGTCACACGTAGCATTTCACCCGAAGTTCAAAATGTACAATTTTGGTTACATATGACATTTTAACTCCAATTTTTTTTTACATTAAATCCTTTTAATATTTATATTAAACTGTTGATAAATGTGACAAAATGTGAGAAAAGAGGTAGCATGAATAATTTCTAGCAAAATCTTCAACACACGAGTGTCTAAAAACATCAAAGCACAAGATAAAGTCAAATCTCCTCCTCCACTGTTTCACACAGGAAATAATCAAAATTGATCGTATTCTATATAAATGCCTGCAGCTGTACAAATAACATTGATTGAACGGTGAAACAAGAGCATCTGGTCAGACCCAAGCATCACCAATCAATGTGTCCACTGAACAGATTACAGGGGGATATATTATCGAGAAGGACTGTACACTGCGCTACTATTAAACTGGAAGGGAAACTTTCGGCCCACGCAGGCTGTCTGAGAAGGAGTTATTGATTTCTTGGAAAAAACTGATAATAAAGGCTATGTTCCAGCAGTTAGGCCATTATTTAGTTCCTCCACATACTAGAAAAAAGCTGTCAAGGCACAAAACCTGGTATTTTTCTAATAAAACTCTTTTACAAATTACATTTTTTCTTCTTCTTCTTCTTCTGTTGTTAGTCAGAAGATACAAGTAAAGTGATTCATGACAAACAGTTTTGACAAGACCGGACGAAATTTACAGCAGAACACTAAGTTCAATGAACGAATTGAAATAAGAAAATTAAAGAGTATTGTAAAAAATAAATAAAATAAAGTCCATTGTTTTCCCCCCCATTATTTTCTGCATTTTCTTTTTTTCCTTTCTTTTTCTTTTTTCTTTTTTACTTACACTCAACTTTCTATGAGCATGTTGTAACTTTTTCAGAATATTCAAATTTTGTGAGACATTGAATTTTGGGTTTTCATTACTCTGTCTCATAATTCGGCAGAATTATGAGACATAATCTACGTATGTTTGATAAATTAAGAATCTGAGTTTCAGTTTCCAACATAAACCAAAATATTAAACTTTTTTTTCCACAGTATTCTAATTTCTTTGAGCTATGCTCATATCTATTACACATAAAGCAAAATCTACACAAAGGAGTCTTGATCGCCTTATGTTGTTCTCTCCACTAGTTGCTTGGCAACATCATGTTGGGGGTCCATATGACTGTATAGGTTTTATTCATGTGAAATCCACGTGCTGCTCAATAAAAACATGTGATTCTATTCTGGCTCGTCTGTTTATAGAATAGCGCGAAAGTTCCTCTGGGAAGGTTTAGCGACAAACTGATGGTGAAACTTGTAAGGAAACCCAGTTTGAAATATTTGGTTCAGTTCAACAATTGATAGTTGTTGCTTTAAAAGAAGCCCAAAGTTGACTAAAATCAATCATGTTTAACTCCAGCTGTTGTGTTAAATCTCAGCAGTCAAACATGGTAGTGAGAGTGTGATGCTCTGGGGATTATTATGCTGATTCAGGACCTGGAGAGATTTTAGGAGCATAAATGGTTACACAGGATTTTTAAAAATTATTTTTACAGCTTTTTATTTGTAAAACACACACACACACATACACACACACACACACACACACACACAAATTCGCAATATGCTTGAGTCCTTAAAAGGCCTGTATAAAGTTAAAAAAAAATTAAGCTTCACATCAACTAATAGAGTTATTACCTCATCAAAACATGCCTTGAGTGCTGCCTTCATTTTTTTTGAATGCTGAAGAAATTGTTTAATCTCCTATGGCAACCATTCAGCTGTACAAAACGCCTCGGTGGACCTAGCCCCGCCTACAGAGGCACAGCTCCTCCTCACTACATGACTGGAAAACATGTAATACTGCCCTTTTAAAGTTTTTATAAACAATATGCATTTCTTTACATATTTGTTGAAATTGTCACTATGTCATCACAATATAACGTGTGAGAAAACCAAGCTCCTCTGCCTTCTCCATATGATCCTATCTGCAGAAATACACCACGCTCTATCTGAAATAACCAATCACAGCAAGGAAGAGGGTCTTAGAGCTGTCCATCAAGCTCATCTGGGTGCTACTCAGTGTGCTAATGGTGGGAAAACAACTTACCTTTACCGGAAACTTGGTTAGCAAAACAGCAGTCCCCGTCACTGGTGTTCATGCTAGCTAGCTGTTCCCTAGCAGAGAGCAAGGAGGATGACGTGTGATTGACAGCGCTCCTGTGTAAATATCAATGTTATTTTAATTGAAATGCCACTCTTGCTTACGTTTTGAATGATAGACAAGCTGCGAATTCCAGCTGACTACCATTTTTATGGCAGTGCCTCTAAAACAGAGCATCAATGTTCATTTAGTTTATGAGCTGCTTGGTGAGGACGTACATCATGAACGCAAATCTGCTTCTTGCTCTGATGGGTTGAAAATCTCGCACCATTTAAATATCACGGCTGTTTTGATTTGTTATTTCCTGTCAAAAGCAGGATGCATTATTTATTTATTTTACCTGAAAGCACTTATTAGGAGTAATGCTGTAAAGCAAAACAGTTTGAGTAGCTCTGGGTCAATGTGATTCTTCCAAGCAGCTGAACATTAAATATTGATCGTTCCATCACTCAGCACATTAGCTTTCGCCTTCAGGTGGAGTTTCTGACCCCTTTTTACCTTTCTCTTTTTTTCCCCTCCCGTTGTAATCTCAAATAATATTTCTACTTCACTTCTAACTTTAAGAGGGATTGAATAAACGTTCATTTTCCTTGTAAATCTTACAAATTCAAGTATTTCTTTGTGGGAAGACAATAAATGAAGCGAAAGTCCGCCTTCTTCCTCAGTCCATTATTAAAGGAACATTGACCAACACTGCCACCGCGTGGCCATCTCACACACTGCTACACTGTTACAAAGCACTTTTTATCACAATTTATTTACACACTGTATCTGATATGCCCATTACAAGAAGCTGCGCACAGCAGAATCTGCGGAAGAAACAACAAATATATTTACACAATAAACTTAACTTTCAGCTCAACTTAGAAAATCAGAGGGAGTCTTCACATCTTAAGTTGCCTAGTTGATTAGTAAGGATTTAAGATCATCTAAAGAAAATTGCTGTCATTGGTACAGAAAACCATGATCCTCAATGCAATCTGTGCTAGACAGCGCTGCCTCCAAAGAAGAGCGCAACGTTAGCGATACATCAAATTTCGACGGCACGTTATTAAAAAAACGTTTACCTGATCTTTTCCCAACGAAGGAAAGTCCTCAAAAATCACATCACAAGAATAAATAAATCAACGTACAGTTCAGGATTTATGACAGGCACTGAATAAACAACTGATCAAAGAGAAATCCATCCCATCGATTCTGTGCAAATCATCGTCTATGACACACAGGGCAATAGATTGAACACATGTACTAGTCACTAGTGATGCAGAAAAAATGGATAATAATCTTGGATTCAAGAAAATAAATAAATAAACAGTAGCATTTCAGAGGTCTTCCAAACATTTGATTCCGTTTGCGGTGACTGATTTTGGGATTTGAGCAGGTCAGATTTTTCAGCCGACAAAAGCCAAACCCCTACCAGGCAGAAACGAGTTCAGTCTTGTCTCTTTCTTTTTCTTCCTGGACCCACATAGATATGTTTGACTTTTCAGCTCACATGTTTCCATGTGAGCTGAAAAGTACAAGGTGCTTGATTCCATAAACGTACAGTATTTGCTTTCACATCGTTCAGATCACAAACGGCCTGTCGTTGACGTTCAGATGTTAAATAACGTGAAACAGAACATGATTCCAGGTTGATAGATTTCTCAAGATTGAAAAAAAAAAAAGAAAATAAGCTGCAGCCTTAATGAAAACAACACAGCCACAGTTAACAAGTCAATATTGTTTGCAAAACGAATTCAAAAAGGTATTCAAAATCTTAGGCTACAAGGCTAATTACCATGTCAAATTAAGCTAATTATCCCAGAGGGACGTGTTTTGTAATTTGAGCCTTTTATGCTTTCCTGAAAGCCTGAACTGTAAATATATCTTGAAGTAGTGCTATTCTTTTATCCTCTGATAAACAAAAGAAAAGAAGAAAAACAAATAGGAAAAACATGCATATTGATAGACCTTAAAGCATGTTTTTCTTTTAGAGACTTTCAGTGTTTAACTCCGGTGCATTTGGCAGTAACAGCTTCGAAGCAAATCTTCAGTAGTTTGGTCCTTTAACTGGGAACAAAAACATCACAGACACACACACACACAAACACACACAAAATGACCTGTTCAGCATTGTCGGGAAGACATATAATACATCAAGTCAACACACAGGATACGATCACAGCAAGCCATTTCTTTAACGCAGCTTCTTTTCTCTCAGCAGCTTTAAAAAGACTCCCTGATCAACCAAACAAACCGTCTTGTGGCCCCTGGAACTTCAGCAAAGACTTCCAAGGCTTCCTCGAGTTCATAGTGAGTTGTTCTGACCTAAAATATTAGCAACTGTTTAAACCTGGAAAAGTTTACTTCATCTAAGTTGGTCTTCCTGACTCAGATCCCTGTGGGACACCAGCCATGGCTCAATGTCTCAAACTCAAAGAATAAAGCTAATGTTTACAAGTAGACAGTCCAATGTGTGTGGGAAGAGGCTGGGTGTCAGTGGAGTCCATCTTCCACGGAGCTCTTTGCTTCCCAGATTTTCACGGTGCGGTCACTATAAAACAAAAATAAAATAGTGAAACAATAGGAGATGATGAAAACATATACCACTTGTATGAGGACTTACTCTGAAGCTGTGAACAATTGGGTGCTGTTGGTTGCCAAGCCGTTGATGGGACTGTCATGTCCTTGGACTTCACCGAGGGGTGCCAGTGAGTCGGCGTGCCAAAGGCGAAGCAGCCCGCCTCTGCACCCGCTGAGGAGCACCGGGGAGCCTGGTACGATGCCCAGAGCGCTGACCCAGTCAGTCTGGGTGCTGACCGACTGTAAGGTGACAACACAACCAGCTGTCAAGCCCAGATCACATCGACCCCACCGATATCCAAACCGCGACATCGTCTCACCTGGACAAGCGTTTTGCTGGCCATGTCCCACTTCTTTATGTAATAATCTCTGGAGCTGCTATATAAGGCGTCTCTGTGAATGGCTAGAGACTCCACGCTGTCCTGGTGAGCGGGGTCAAACGTATAGCTGGAGCCGACGCTGCCCTGAGCACCTTCGGTCACCTCGAACATCTGGAAAAGCGGAGAGGGTTAGTGATGACCAATCTGATAACGAGGGGTGTAACGGAGTGATTCAGAAACTGTGGGTGCACCCCCTGGAGGGGCACTCGGTACCATGATACTGTGGTATGAAAGGGAACATTTTTTCCCTTTAAAAGTTTTTTTTTTTTTTTTTTGCTTGTTTTGTTTTTACATACAGTGAAGTTTATTTGATTGAGTCAAAAATAAATATAAGTTAACCAATTAATTTCTCTTACAAACATATCTATTTTTAATTATTAAGTTCTATGTACCAAATGGACTTCATGCTTCTTAAAATATAAACTATTTTGCTCAAAAAACTAGATCTCTTTTTGACAAAAAAAGGGTAGGGAATACATTTTTCAATTTTCCTTTCTGTTTTGCGTCACTTCAATAAAACTTAACCCGTATTTGTCTGAGATTAGTACCAATGTTTGAAGAAAGTACTGATTTAGTTAGATTTTTACTGTTTTTAGTTAATCTCACTGGGAAGCAAGCAGCTTTAAACGTAAAAAAAAATGTAAGTACAGGAAATATTCTACTTTAATATTAATATTAACAATAATAATTACTTTGATATGATGGTCTTTGGAGCCGGTGAGAATGACGTCCTGTCCATGGCCCAGCTTTTCAATGCTTAGACACATAACGGGTCCCAAATGGCCCGTCAACTTTCCGGTAGACACGAACCTTGAGAGAGGATAGTTTAATTAGTGCTTTGAACAAACCTTTTGATGGCAACATAATGAACTTGAGCTGTTGCAAATAGTTTGCATGACTGCAACTCTTAAAGCTCGACGTGTGGCAGCGTACTTGCGAAGGTCCCACATGCGGACGGCGTTCCCAGCAGCAGCGTACAGAAACGAGCCAGAATTGTTGAGGGCGATCTGGTTTATCTGACTCTCTCCGGGTGGGATGGATAAACTCCGAGCAGACGAACATGTGTCCCCCGACCCCACCTGACCTGATGATCTGATATTAAAAAAAACAAACAAAAAAAATAACTTGTCTAATAACTAGATCACTTACGATTTCATCTTGCATGAGCTCGTGTACTTACGTGAGCGTACGGATACACTTGGCGGAGTCTCGAATATCCCAGACCTTGACGTAAGTGGTGGAAACGGTGAAGACGAGACTGGAGGTGTACCTGTGATAAAAACAAATAATTATTCAGGAGAGAATGCAATTTTGCAATGATTATCGTCAAAGTAGGTCATTTCTAAACAAAAATCACAATACCTGACTGAGACAACACTACTGGGATGATCTGCGAGGGACATAATCTCCTGGCCCGTCACCAGGTTCCAGACCTTGCAAGTCCGATCTGAGACAAAGATTTGCGTGCAATCTTAGGAGAAACACATCGACAGAATCCGATGTCGCGTTTTTCGGTCTTTTACCTTTAGAGCCAGTAAAAAGTAGGTCATCCGTTGCGTCCACGCAGAGAACAGGTTTGGTGTGGCCTTCAGCTACGTGGATGCACTGAATTCTGGCACCGGTTCTGTTCTTTGGAGCTGCCACCGGATTTATCACACCTCTGAAAACAAGCATTACAGAATAATGAAATACAGCTGTTTGTCATTTTGACTGACATTTTACTAACCAACTGCTTGAAAATGCCAAACTATGCAGAGATAAAGAGTCGTAAAGGTCCTTCTTATAATAAAACATTTGTTTCTTTTGCTTGGTTATTCAGAAGTGCATATGGTTTAATTACATTTGAGACTTTAGTGATCAGCTTTATTTAATCCTTCCAATTGATTACATTTTTTAAAATCATCTTTGTTTAAAAAAATATATAATTCACAAAAATATTCCAGCCTATATTCTCCTGACTTACTTGAAATTTTATTAGAAAATAACTAAAAGCAAAATCAGATTTCAGCAACAAAATCAACTTTAGACCTTTTTTTTTTTTGCATTCTTTAATCTGTCCGTTTAGCGACCATGACAAATGTGTAATTCTTTTGCTGTCACATTAAAGTCTTTACTTTCTACTTTGTTGAAAACAAAAGGGCCAACCAGAAAATCTAACATAAATGATTAAAACCGATTACAGTACATTACCTGTGTCCTTCAAATACAGGCGATTCATCCAGCCTGAGAAAACAGGACAAAGTCAAATGTAACCTAGCATTCTTGCTACCTGTATTAGCTTAATAACACTTAGGAACAGAGCTGTAATGTAAATAATTTTCTATAATTTGTGTGTAAAGAAGGTTGTATTTAAACAATTTTAACATTTAAAGGTGATGTAAAACTGGAACATAACTTTTGAGCGTTAGCATGCTAATTTACGCAAAGGCTTAGGAAGCTTCATATTCCACTTGTGTTTAATTAAACATAGATAAAATGTGAGCATCTTCTAGTACTGAAAATAGTTTGTATGTATATTGACGAGCAGCAGGCTGCATAAACGTGAAGCACGGCTACAGAAAAAAACTCTTTTACAGTTAAGTTTGAGTAATATAGGTTTTTACATTGATTTGTACTCGCTGCCTTTAGTTTTAGTTTCCGTGGCGCCCGCTGATGGTATCTGTGTGGGGGTTGCCATGGGAGACACGATGGGGCCTTTTTCTTGCACCTTCCTTCGGTTCAGAGGCGAACGCTCCAGCTGCCTCCTCTCCACCCCCGTAGGTGATCTAGATCCAGAACTAAAGACAAGACAACTCATCCGGTCAGTATTAAAAAATAAATAAATTTGGATACTCTTTTTCCCAAACTTCCTGCGTTCCCAGACTCCGTACAAGGAACTCTCTTTCTGTTTCTCTTTGAGATTCCTGCCCTCCTCTGAAAAATATTGCCTCTGAACTTACATGCCAGCTGGCCTGACAGACAGCGCAGATGGAGATACGGCTCGCTCGCAGTCCGGGGCATGACCAGCTGCCTGACCCCACATGTCCGCCGGCCCTTCCAGGCGCTCGGCGAGGGGCAGCAGAGGGGCCGGGAAGTCTCCGGTGGGGGACTCGCAGGACAAATCCCCACTGCTGGCATACAGCAGCTCCATCTGGGTGGTGGTCCGCCGTCGAGCCTGTGGAGCCACGATGGGTTGAAATATAAATAATCCAATTCACCAAGAGCCGCTGGCCAATGCTGCAAAATGCCGGTTTAAAACATGTGCATGGTCATCTACCTTGCTTCTCGGCTTTGATTCGCCACATAACTTCATTAAATCTGACGACAGCGTGCTGAAACGCAAAAAGTGGTGTCAGAGAAGTTGACATATAAAGAAATGATACAAGCCACTGTTTTTTTTCCCCCTCTTTAATTCAGTATTAGATTATAACATTTAGGATTATATTGACTGGAAGATTCCGGTTTTCACTTTCCTGTATCTTGCTAAAACCCTTCCAACCTTCAAATCCAAACTGCTTACATATTTTATTGGGATTTTATTTCACCGACCAACACTAAGAAGCATGTTTACTGTAAACACTTAATTACAAGATCCTATAAAAAACAGAATTTCTGGATTTATTTCTGTAATTTTGATAATTTTATGCTGAATTGCTTTACAGATTTCCACAGACTTGTCATAGTAGTGCTTTGTGTCACATTTCAGGCCCAGCTTAAGAAACTATGACTCAGTTAGATCTGAATTTAAAGTTGTCTAGAGACCAGACAGGTAGTGAAATGGCCCATTTGTGATTTTAATGAGCACTTATTGAGCCCAATTCCAAAATACACCGGGATAAAACGGTAAAATCACAGCTGCAATGTGGCCAATCTAAGATAAACTGTCAATTGAACATATAGCAAAGTGAAAACCGCTGTACTTTATTATGAATCACTGGACTTTTGTCTTTTAGAAAATGGAAGATAGGTATAATTTGTTGTTTCAAACTAATTGGGCTGACTTGTATTTTTTAAACGACTTGTATCTGTTGAGTCTGATGTCAAGCTGCAAATTCATAAATTCAGAAATGAAGAAGAAAAAAAGAGGAAATGCAAGATGAAGTTTATAGAATAAAAAAACAGTACACAATTTTCAACAATTTTTAGATATGGTTTTTACTGCAACCCTGAGGGACACCGTAGTTTATGTTTTGTTTGTTTGTTTATTTACCTGCCATCTGTAGCAGGACTTGGAGTGGACTCGTCGCTACTGCTACAATCCCCGTTTTCTGCAGCTGGAGGCACAAGACACACACACATACACACATGTAAGGCATTAATGTGTGTGTGTTTTTATTTCATCCAAAGGCAACACATATGTAAAAACACTGCAACTCAACAGTGACGCCATCTTCAGCAGCTCGGGACAAAGTCATAGGTCACAAAGATGAAGAGATGAAGAGAGGTCATTGGATGTGGGATGAAGGGAAAAAGCGTATGAGACAAAATATTCAAACACAAAAAAAAAAAAAAAAAAAAAAAAACACACACAAACACACACAGCTGTGGACACAGGATGTGCAGTCGGTTTAGGTTTTTACTGCGGTTAAGTTTTAGTCCTGAGATTGGACTAGACCAGGAAGTGGCTGGTGAACCATGCAGGTTACAGCGGAGTTACTCGACGCGGGTTAGTCTAATACAGATGCACACTTCAAGATTTCTTACAATTTTACATCTTATATACTGTAACGCAAAATAGGAAAAGGAAACTTTTAAATAAGTTCAACACTGACTTAAACATTGGTCAGAAATAACTAAAATAGAATTAAATATCTAAAGCTAAAGGATATTTTTTTAACTATAGTGCTCCTAAGAGGTCCTTTTCAAATAAATGTTAAAAATGCAGCTTAAAAAGTGTTTTTCTACAGAAAAGGGGGGAAACAATGCAATTTTTCTAAAAAATAAATAAATAAATGGTCGAAATGGAGAATTTTCTTCTGAGAGAACATAATCAAAATGCAGGTTTGATTTATGAAATATTGACTCCATTTATTCCTCTCCACGACAAGACAAGTTTATTATGAGGCTTCTTCCTTATTTTTAGTCATTATTATTATTATTTTTTTTATGGAAATCATGTAGTGTGCACATTCAGCACCTTGCTCTCTCAAACACACTCACATTTCTATTCGTATCTCTCACTCACCTGGTAGCAGGAACCCTAACTCTGAGATCACACCAACACAACAGAAACAAAAAAACAAAAAACAAAAACAAACAGAAATTAAATCGAATTCAAAGCGGACAAATCGGCTGCGCTTTAATTTGTACTCATGGTTGTTTTTTTATTTGTTTTTTTTTCTACTTTTTGAACTGGAGCGTGCAAAGTAAAGCGCAGGCGCTCGGTTAAAATCAAAAGATGATTGTGGAAAGGTTGATCAACATGCTGCCGGGTCGGCTACTGGGCACTCGCTGGCGTTTCCAACCTTGCAGGGCGCTGCCCAGCAGGGCGTCCAGCTCTGGGTTGATCTCGGCCTTCTCCTTCAGCATGTGGAAGAGCAGCTGGTTCTGGGTGGCGCTGTTGATCTCCGTCTGCTTCAGCTGCCCCTCCATCACCTTCAGCTGGGAGTCCTTCTGAGCCGCCTGCAGGCCCTGGAAAAAACCCGACGACGTAGAGAGCATTTTTGAGCGTTTCTGTTTCCTGGATCTGAGGCATTCTCTCACCAGACCAATTAGGTTTTATCAAATCTAATCTGATGGATTTAATTCAAACAAATTGATCCGATTAAAGACTCGCTCGGCATTTTATCTAATTGGGAACCATGGCAACGAGGAAACAAAATCCAAACACATAAGTAAGAGTGAATATTCTCAATAGAGGTCAGAATTAAATCAAGCGCCACTGGCTGTTTGGTAAATTCGAACAGGTCTGCCTCCATTCTCATGAATATAGTTGGGAAATTTCTGTGTTGAGACAGTTTTTTCCACACAAAAAAAAAAAAAAATATGGAAAGCATCCTGCATCTATTGAATAATTCAGAAAGCTGGCCAAACTTTTTTGACAGCCAGTGGAAACAGAACAGTGACAGGAGGAAAAGCAGGCACCTTGCTTATGGCCATGGACACAAAGTTGTCCAGAAGGAAGCGGGCTTCTGATAAGCTGCAGGAGCTGATGACAGCGATCACATCCACAGTGTCTCCTTCCTCCTGCAATAAAAACACAGTCAAGAAGTGGCTTTGGTGGAAGCTCAACAATGGATCTTGAATATTTAACTGCTAAGCTAATAGTTTGCTAGTATAAGATACCTTGGCTTCCTCCATCTGCATGATGTTGGCCTGGCAGTCGGCGATGCTGTCGTTGATGTAGTCGATGTTGGCGGCCAGAGACTCCAGCTCCTCGTTCAGGGAAGCCAGGGAACGGTCGGCGTCAGCGCCATCCGCCGCCAGCTTCTCTCTCTTCCTGGACACGCGCTCCCGCCGCCTGGTCAGCTCCTCTCGTTGCTGGAGAAACAGTGAGAAGTGAGAACAGTTGTGAAGTAGAAGGAAAATAGTGAATGCCTCACAGTATGTATCTATCTATATATATCTATATCTATCTATATATATATATATAAATAAAAGTCTGAAAAGTGTGGCATGCTTTTTTTCTGCCCATTTTACTCTAGCATCTATGGAAGCCCATTCCTGCCATTAAAGAAGAAAATAAAAGTCAAACAGGAAGTCATAATTTCAAGTTCAAAGTCATAGTTATAAGATTCAAAGTTATAACTTTGACTTTGTAGGTCATTATAATGAGATTTAGTCATAATTTCAACTTCCAGTCATAATTATAAGTCAGTGAATTTCAACTTTCAAAGCTATACTTTCTAGGTCATAGTTATGAGATTCAAAGTCACAATTTTGACTGTCTAAATCACAATTATATGAAAATGAAGCAAGAGTCCTAAGAGAAATAGACTTTCTATGTCATAATTCTGACTTTTAAAAATTCATATTCTTTTATTCACATAATTTATTATTTCAAAACTCTAAATTATGACTTCCTGTTGGGCTTTTATATTTTCTTTCATGGCAGAAATGGGTATCCATAGATCATAAACTGATTATATGCCACTTTGTTGGTGAGTAACAGAATCCCAATGAAACACATAAACAAGAGTTATTTTAGCAAGTCTACTGTAATATCATAGTTTTATTTCCCCTTTTTCTACTTTCTTGGACTCATTTCCCCACCGTTACCTTGAGAAGGCGGTTCATGTCCGTCTCCATGTTGGAGATGGTCATCCTCTGCATGATGATGTCACTGACACGTCTCTCCAGAGACTGCCATTTGGTCCTGGCTGTGCGGTTCAGGTGAACGCCTCCCCTCCGTAGTGGGGAGCTCCTGAAAGAAGAGGCGACTCAGTCAGATCCCCCGAACTCTGTGATTGGTGGAGCGGCTCAGGTGGGCGCACCTCGCTCCGTTGGAAGGGCTCGCTCCGGACGTCTGCGGCCGTCCCGGTGTCGCCCGGGGCCAGGCTTCCTGAGCGAACTCGGGCGAGCTCAGCTTCCTGTTTGCCTTCCCCGACACGGGTCTCACCTGTCGCCTCAGAGCAGTCACCTGCAAACAGAAAGGAGGGAAAAACAAAAACAAAAAAAAGAGGAAATGTTCAAACCTGGTTGTGTTTTTAAATTGGCTTTCTTAATGAGCGGCCTGGTTAACCTCTTCGTTCTTCCTGCGAAGGATGAGCTCCTGTTGCCGTTTCTGGGCCTCCAGCTGCCTCACTTGGAGCTGAAACAGGACTCAAGTTTAGATTTCCAATATTTTCATCTTTTCCCATTAAACCAGTCTTTGTTTCTGAGGGTTTCGGTGTTTCTTGCCTCCGCTCTGCGCTGGTCCTTCTTCAGAGAGGCGATCTCTCTGTTCCTCCGGCACTCAGCCGCTCTGCTCCTCTCCTGCTGCTCCTTCATCTGACGCATCAGCGACACCTGGTGGACAGACACGTCAGGACAAAATTCAAACCATGTTAAAAATGTAATTAGTACGACAGAGTATAAGGGCCATACAAGAAAAACAAATAAAATTATGAGAAGAAAGTCATTTTATGAGAATAAAATCATAGTATTACGAGAATAAAGCCATAGTATTACAAGAAGAAGTCAAAATAACGTGAAAATAAAAGTCATAGTAATACAAGAATGAAGTTGTGGTGCAGTCAAAATATTACGAGAATGAAATCTTACGAGAAAGCCGTCAAAATAATGCAAGAATAAACTTGTAGTATTAAGAGAGTAAAGTCATAATATCACAAGAATAAAGTCGCAAAAATTTGAGTGAAGTCATGATATCATGAAAATAAAGTCGAAATGAAAATAAAGTCGAAATAATATGAAAGTAAAGTTGTATTAACATGAGAATAAGATCATGGAAGAATAAAGTCGTAACAATATGAGAATAAAATCATAACATAACTATTCTTGTAATACTACCATTTTCTCATTATTTAAATTTTTTTGTGTATGACTTTTCTTGAAATATTCTGACTTTATTCTCCTATTATTGCAACTTTATTCTGGTTGTATTGCCTTACTTTTGTAACATTATGACTTTACTCTCGTATTATTTCTACTTTATTCTCATATGACCTCATTATCAAAACATGACTTTATTCTCGTAGTTTTATTTTCTCGTTTTCTTGACGTAAATCAAAAGAAGGCGCTGGTGCTGGCGGGATGGAAAGCGGGGAGCTTTACTTTGGTCTTCTTCATCTCGGTCACGTCCTGCTGCAGCTTCTTCAGCTGCTTCTCGTACTGCGACTGGTTCTTCAGCAGGCGGGCGTGCTCCTTCTGGGCCGACTGCAGCTTCTGCAGCTCCTTATTCATGCTGCTCAGCTTCCTCTCGTACTCTGCCTTGATTTTTTTGGCCTTCTCCTCTGAACCAGACTCTACCGAACCTGGACAAAAGAAAAAGAAAAGAAGAAAGAAATAAAAAGCTAAAAAGAAATATTTTGGATTCGGTTTTCAGGAGTTAAAAGTCGCAGTCTCTGCGTTACCCATGTTGTGCAGGACTTTGTCCCGCTCCAGCTGCGTGTCTCGAATCTTGTTCTGCAGCATCATCAGCTTCTGCTCGTACTGCTGCTTCAGGGTGTGGAGGCGCCGCTGGCTGTTCTCCAGCTCGTCGATCAGCTTCTGCTTGATGGCGATCTCGCACGTGATGTTGGCCAGGTCGGCCTGTACGTTCTCTGCGCGGAAAAAAACGCAGCGTCGGATAAAGTTCCATAACCGTCAAGCGGGGGTTTATCGCTTTGTCGCCGCACGACCTCTCACCTTTCTCGTCCAGTTCCTCTGAGTCGGAGCCGTCGGACGTCTCCTCTCCTTCTATATCGAAGTCCTCCTCTTCTCCGTCTGCGTCTTCTCCGTCCTCATGGCCGCTGGCCTCCTGCAAAACGGGGAAAACAAAACAAAAAATCACTAACGCACTAATACACAACAAATCAACTAATCAACTAAATTGCATAGAATATTAAAATGAAATCAATGATTTCCAATACTTGGTGTCAGAGCGCGTGAAAAATGAATATGAAAATGAAATGAAGAAATGAATCTTACAACAGTTTAAAAATGTGCTTAGCAAATCCCACAGTTCATATCTCGCAAGACGAAACGAAACATCTCAAAATAAGAGCTCCTATCGGAACTCCACCTACCCCCTCCGCCTCCTCGTTGCTTCTCTCCTGGTCGTTGTCGGGGAGCTCCTCCTTGACGACACTGGAAAAAAAAAAGTTCAATCCTGTTCATTCAGCAGCGACAGATAAACAGTTAGAGATTTTGTCAGATTAGGAAGAAGAGGTGAGATGATTATTAAACGTGAATGCATCATGAATCACACCATGGCAGGAAGGAAATCAGGACTGACTGTCACTCATTCAAAGCCAAAACGTAAATTAAGAGAAAAACTGGCACACTGCATGGAATAGTGTGCCTTCTAGAATGATCGACTTAAATCCCAAATTTTAAGTTCAACAGAACATCTCTTAGAGTGCAGGAAAGAAAAAAAAAACATTTAGGAGCTCCATTCAGGGGCAAAAACCACCTGCGGGGACTGAAAAGGGGTCCGAGTTAGTCGATTTAAGGAGCTGTTAGAAGATTTGGGTCAATGATTAATTCAAATGCCGTCCGTTAGTCTGGATGTTCCACTTTGTGAGCGATTCTGTGCAGACCTGTCAAGCTCAGCCTCGTGGTGCTGATTCTCCTCGTACCGCCTCAGCCTTTAGAGAGAGTGTGGGGGGGTAAGAAGGAGGTTTACGTGGAGAAGACAGGAGCGAGAACAGGGGCAGTTCACAAGACAGCAGAGGGACAGAGAGAGTGAGACAGAGAAGCCCAGGGGAAACGCCGCAGAAGACGGAGTCTCCGTCTCAAACTTTCTCAAAGAAAGGGCGCCGCACCTTTTTTTCTTCTTCTTCTCCATCTTCTTGAGCTTCTGCAGGTTCTTCTTGGCCATCTCGATGACGTCGCTGGCCTCCTTCTCCGGGGCGATGAGGGCGGATGAGGGGAAGGAGGCGGGGCCGGCGTAGAGCGAGGAGCGGGCCGACACCCGGGACAGGTTCTTCCTCAGGCCCTCGTTCATGGCCTCGCTCTCCAAAAGCTTCGCCCTGGGAGACGCGCAAAGTCGAGATTTAGACGTCGTCTGAAAAATCGCGTTCTGCATGCTAGGGCTGAAGCGATTAATCCAATCAATTGTGATCAATTAATAATTGAAATAATTATCAAATAATGTCGTAATCTATGGATTAATTGGAGTATACAAACTAAAGAAAAAGGCTGTTTTCTGAAAGTACAATACACTAAGATGAAACTGTATAAAGAATATTTACATTTTGCAATTAAGATGAGAAAAAATGCTTTGTCTGTAATTATGTTTACCCAGAACTCCTTAAGTAGTGTGTAAACTACTTAAGATGCTCAATCTCCCATTGAGCATCTTTTATTATCCAGTTATTAACCCCCCAAAAAACATAATAACATATAAAACATATACACATATAAAATCTCAACAAAAAATATTCAAGCTTTTTGTTTTAATGTGACGAGATGCTCGAATCAAATGAATACTGTAAAAGCTTGCCTCAGTTCCTCGATTTCTTTGATGTAGTTCTGAATCATGTTCCTGATTTCTTCACTGCCCTCGCCTGTGAACAGATAAAACACAGTTGAGTTTCCCTTTAAGGAAAACGCCCTCAAAGATAAACGTGACATTTCCAGAAACCTGCCTTCAAAGGCATGACTGGTTAAGATTTCAAATCCAAAAAGTTAGTGGCATACAGCCTGAAACTACGAGCCCACCTGCTTTGGCCAACACCTGGCCGGCCTGGTTGCTGAGGATCTGTGTCAGCCGGGTCCTCTGGGCGTCGATGGTCTCCTGCATGGCCTTCACTCTCACTCTTAGGTTGTTGTTCTCCGTTTGCAACATGGAGTTCTCGTGGACCAGGTCGTTGATTCCCTCCATTCCGTCTTCACCCAGGACGCGCTTCCCCTGTGCATCATCGAGCCGGATTGTCAGTCAAGTCTTCAGCTCCTCTTGTATGCCTGACCAACCCCATTTTCCCAGTCCTACCGTCTTGTACTCCATCAGTTCCATCTGCAGCCGGGCTATCTCCGTCCTCAGGGCGCTGATCTGCTGGCTGGCTCTGTCCTGGTTCACCATCACCTTGTTCTTGATGTTTCGCGCCCTGTTGGCGTACTTCAGCGTGTTCAAAGTCTCCATGAAGTCTCGGTCGGACGGGCTGATGCAGGCGATCATTACAGTTTGGCTGGAAAATTTGCAAAAAAAAGGAATGAATAAACATGCTTCCTGTAATGTCGCCCTGTAGTAATCAGACCCACAAACCTGTTGCCGCCCAGAGAGTCCTGTAAGAGCCGGGTGAGTTTGGAGTCTCGGTAAGGCACGTGGGTGGAACGTTTACTGCGGTCTCCCAAAGCGCTGATGACGTTTCCCAAGGCAAGCTGAGGAGAGTCAAGAGTGTTTGCTTCTCTAACCACCAGGGGTCTCTGTCGCTCCATGGAAATGTTCCCCAACTCAGCCACCCAAAGGGATCTGCCACTGAAGATTTTCCACATTGACAGATCAGAATCTGCTTCCTCACCAGTCCACAGTTGATGGAGATGCCCTCTTTCGCTCTGTCGCCCGTCGCTCCGGTTCTCTTCAGTCTCTCGGAACCGGCCAGGTCCACGAAGTGGAACTTGGCGGTCAGAGTCTCAAACTCATCAATCTCGGAGTCGTTAGCCAGCCGGTTGTCAGTGACATTGTCCTGGATGAGAAGGAGCGACATGTGCGACACTCAAACTTTCAATCTGTTGGTTATGACCAGTGGGGACAGTTTTCAACTCTGTAGCCTTGTGCGTTTCCTACATTGTTATCCGGAGAGCAGACTCGGACTTGGCAGAGGTGGATGGTGAAGATGGCATGCGAGCGCGAACTCTGGACGTTCATCTGGGTGCTGGCGGTGGTGCGAGACAGGGCGCCCAGCTTCAGACATTGGATCATCTGTTACAGGGCAAAGAGACAACAATGTGAGCGTTTGCACACTCTGAGAAACACGGGAAAAAAAACAAGGAGGGTGTCATCGGCATATAAGGAGATTCAAAAAGGTACAAAACATAAAATAAAATCTTTTGACACAAGTTGAATGACTTATGTACCATCTATTCACAGTTGCTCTTTGTTCTAGACAACATAAACAGATCTGAAAAAAAAAATTCTTCCATAAATCCTTCATGGGCAAATGTTACATTATTTTTAACAGTTCTTATGTGCTTCAACAGGCCAACAGCAGCTGTTTGCTGCAGTAAGGCTTGAGTAGCAAAACTTTTTGGAAAGCTTCACATGAGCTGTAAATAGTCCAAAATCACTAAGGTGAACAAAGAAAATACAGGAAGCTACGCACTTATTAGCGAACCTGACACAAGCCTTCAAACAAGAACTTCTTTCAGAACTGCAGAAGAATCTCACGCTTAAACTTTGTAATGTTTCTACATCCAACTAAGGAATTAAAAAGAAAATCATTTTAAGAAATTACTGGGTTCTTGAAGAGAATAGCCTATGGGGACTCTTGGCGTTTCTACATTACAGAACCCTGTTTAAACAATAAGGCAGCACTAATTAGTCTGCTGATACAGACGGATCTCTCACTATTTGCTTTGGGCCTCAGTGGCTTTATTCATTAGGGGCTTTCCCTCACATACAATACAATCTTAATCTCACTTAAACAAACCACAATCCCAGGTTATATTTCTGGTAAAACCTAGCAAGCTTCTCATGTTTACATTTGTGATTCTCCTTGCCACGCCTTGCAATAACTGGTTGTAGAAAGCCTGGTTGTCACTATGGTGACCATAAAATGTAACTCTTTACTCTTTATCTTTCTTATCATCATTGCTCATTGGTTTTATTTGAATGTTCTCCTGCTTTGGTTATATTTGGGCTAAGGAAAACAGTATGGGTGCCAAATCTGTGGCGCCAGTAATTTGAAAAAGAGAAAACTTGATGTAAAAAAAAAAAAAAAAAAGACAAAATAAATTTTTTTTCATTTATATTGGAGGTTGCATTATATAAAAACGACATAAAGATTTAGTGTAGGTAGTGTATGTCAACATTTTTTAAAGAGCAGCACATTTCCAGAGTGTTCTGGGTGCTTAAAGCCGACCTCAGCAGCCGAGGTCACGGTGCGGGTGGTGACCCCCACGGTGTAGATGCCCCCGTTGGCGTCCTCGTGGATTTTGATGTTGGATCTCTGCCTCCTGGCCTCCAGGTCTCGGGTCGTGTCAAACAAATCCAGCACCTCTTCGTTGTACAGCTAGAGTCCAGGAGGGAGAAAAAAACAAAACAACAACAAAAAAACAGGTAAAACACAAGAAAATGATTCGTCATCTTCTAACACTCAGCTGCTTCCTCGGCAGCTGTCAGCAGCCACTTGGTGTCGGTTAAAAATAAAGCCGGAAGTCGACCTCAGCGACAAACTAATGACAGCTTAATGACGCTGGGGGTCATCCGGGACACTTTAACAACCCACGGCAGACCTTTGACCTCTGGCTGTCAGCGTGTTCTTTCAGCGTCTGCTTAATTGAGCCAAAATGCTTCCAGCTCGGCGAGTTCAGAGCTCAGACCGTGCCCCGAAAAATTGCTTTAATTTGGTAGTGCTCGAAAGCGTCGCTCTGAGTCCGCTTTGATCTACCTGGAAGAGAGTTGGCGTACCTCCAGGAACTGCGCGTTGATCTTGAACTCGGGGACGGGCCTGCCTTGCTCGGTGGCCGCCTGTCTGCGCTCCTCCATCCCCCTGAACAGGTGGTGGACGGCGCGCGGAATGATGCCCTGCTCGTCGTCTCCCATGTTGACGTCGAAGCCGGTCCCCATGGTGTACGTCTTACCTGAACCTGTCTGGGTACAGGAGGACACAACTTTAATTTAGCTTCTTTCGTCATGTCTGTTTTCTTTATTTTAGTCAAAAAAAAGTCAAAACTTCATCTTGTTGCTTCAGTTAGTCAGCCCTCCTTCTCACTTGGGGGTGGAAGGGAGAGAGGATGGGTTGTGAGGGACGGGGGCGATTTCCATGGTGACCAAAGGAGGAATGCAACTTTGGGTTTAAATTCATGCGTCACTCTGCTTCTCCCTGCTGAAACCGTTAAAATAAAATATAAAGGACCCTGGCAGGAGGAGTATACGTCACGTGAAGGTTTGTGTGTGACTTCTCCAAGATCACACTTGTGGTTTCTTTGCGTGAATGTTTGCTCCCCAGTCAGAAGCTCTCAGATGAGAACATCAACGTAAAGGTGGAACGATGCGCGGAAAGAATATTAACCCAATGCAGACATTACTCATTTAATTCCAGTTAAATTCGGTTCACTTGGCAGAGATGAGGCACAACAGCAGAGTTACAATTTAAAGAATGAACTGCTGATGGAGAGTATTCTCGCATCGTTTGTCCATTACATTTTTTTAACAACTAAAACCTCCAACAAAGTCTTATAATAGCAATTTCAGGTCAAATTATCAAACTTTTCCAAACTCACGTCGCCAGATTTCCCAATCAATTTCTGACCCAGAAAATATAAAACTTCACTTTTATAACCAGGATTGCCTTTGATTTTTTTGAGAAGTCCTTTGTTCAACCACTTATCTTTCTAAATCTATATGCACAAACTTTGTTTGATTGGATTTTTAATTTATTGCAGATAATTCTGCAGTGGTGAGGCCTTAGATGTGAAACCTACAAACAAGCTGACACTGCAAGAAAGGAAGGAAGGAAAGCAGTGAATGGAAAAACTGATGGATCGACTGATAAGGGAGACGAGGATTCATGGTTTCACTGAAACAGATCAATAGTTGGAACTGTTGGACTGATAGACAAATGGGTTGTTGAAACAGATCAATTGGTGGATCAATGAATAGATTAAAGACAACAATGGAATGTTGGATTAATAAATAAATCAATAGAAGTACTGATGGCTGGTTGGATGAATGTCATGAAGGACAGACAGATGAATCAATGTTTGGTTGGAATGTTGTATTGGACAGACTGATGGACCAATAGTCCAAAGGACACAACAGAATGTTTTCTTACTGAATGCTTGATCAATGGACAGTCAGACTGACGGTTGGATGGACGAACGAGGGAATTAATAGATAAATGGACGGACAGATTTACGGATAGGGTAACAAGTGCGTCAATGGACAGATGTGCATCTTTAATAAAAGAGCTCTACGTGGAAAACTGATGCTCATCTGTTTATTATAATAAACAATGGAACAAAGAAGCTGGTCTTAAAATATAAACATTCTCCAAGCCTATGAAAATAAGAACTAGAGTCAAAGAAAATAAGAGAAATGTAGGAAAAATAATTGATGGTTTATGAATTATTCTTTTTTGCAATAATCCTACAGCTTTAAGAAAGTATGCAGGTATAACTGGGCAGTTTACAGGCAAAAAGGCAAAAAAACACCACCATTTTTTTTAAAAAACACTCCGAAACTTCCTTACTCTAGTGCTTCCATAGGGATTCATTCACTGACTGAAGGAAATGCAGTAAACTATGAAAACTTGTGCCACTGCTGCAGCAGCATCAGTAGCTGCAGACATGAGTTATTGATCCTCCTGGGAAATCCCAGAGCTGTCCAGAGACAGGTTAGTGCAGCAAGCGTTCAATGTCTCCAGGATATGTTTTTACTTTGGAGCTTACTTCTGTGCTCGAGTATGAGATAAGATTGTCCTTACTTTATTTGATTGGGTAATAGACTCCTTCCTCCATCTCTTCCTCTCAGGCTAATGTAAGTCAGCCAATTTGAAGCTGTGGTGTTGAGGGCAGGTTAAAACATGTCAAGCTGCTCCGGCTGAGGCGGTGAGGCATAAAATCAGCTTCATGCCCTGCACTGCCAAATATCTGTGGATTCTTGAAGCAGCTCCATTACCTTGAGCGATGCAAACTTGAGAAATCCTCAGACAGTGGTGCATGAGCGTGCACGTGCGCTGCGTTATTTGCACAGAAACGCGCGCAGGCATGCCCTGACCGAGAGATATCAGCTGACCAACCTGTCCGTACGCAAAGATGGTGGCGTTGTAGCCCTCGAAGCAGCCTTCGATAAGTCTCTCTGTGCAGTGGGTGTAGATGGTCCCCTGCTGCGTGTCCATGTCAAACACGTGGTCAAAGGTGAAGGCTTTGTCCTTACCAAGGACCACTTGTGGTTCTCCGGGCATCACATACGTACAGATATGGCAGCCCTCGATTTTCTCCTTAGCCAGCTGAGGACGGATCCTAGAAGAAGAAAAAAAGAGTGGAGAAGAGACATTTTAACCATGAGCAAAAGAAGCAAAATAATCTAATGTTGATCTAAAAAAGTATGTACACTAGGTGCTCCTGTTCAGGGTTGCTAAGTATCCTCTGGTGTAATTTATTTGAACTATTTTTTTCTGTGCCATCACTGCTGGCCAAATGACCTGGAAATTGTAGTATTATTACATAAACATAATCTACCACCTACTCTGCTAAATCCTCCTGGTTTATCCACACATTTAGCTTCAGTAGAAGGTCACTCCTAAGTTTCAACTCCCAAATAAAACAGAACACAATATAAGATCAGAATTTGTATGAATTCAGCTTGTTATTAACATGTTGGTAAAAATTTAAAGTGTTAGCATGCTAACAATTTCAAGCTAGTGCCTAACATTAGCTTTCTTTTAGCTAGTATAGCTAGTATAACATAAAATGCACCCGCACCTATTAAATGGTAAGATAAAACCAAATTTCAATGTGTTAGCATGCTAACTGTTATTACAATGATGAAGTTTCTAGCCTTACAAGAAATTATATTTTGTGTCTGTTACTAGCTAGTATAAAATAAAGCTCAGAAGTTTTATTTTATACTAGCTAGTATAAAAGTTTTGTTTTTATCTATTAAAAAAGATAAAAACAAAACTTCAATCCGTTAGCATTCTAACAATTAGCAAAAACACAATGATGATGAGGTTTCTAGCTTTTAAAAAATTGTGAGATAAACTGATAATGTTTTTGTGTTCATCACCAACTATTATAAAAGTCCAGCCGGGCATCTATTAAGTAATAGAATAAGAAACAAACTTCAATGTGTTAGCATGCTAACATTTTCCAGTTAGCAGTAAACACAACAAGTAAAATTAATAATGAACCAAAGAAGCTAGAATAAATTAAAGTACCAGTGAAACATATATTTTTCTAAATTGCCAAAAGATTTTTTTTAGCAGCACTTAATTAAGGAGTATAGAACACTGAACACCATGACAAACTATTGTGGGAGTAATGACAAAAGTGTACCTACTTACAAGAGAAGGCAGATGAGGGCAGCTACTGTGAAATGTGTGTGTTTATACATGTGGAAAACCCTGCAGTACCAGCACACTCCCATACACAGACCTCTCAGTGTTCAGTACTGAGGGAGGCTGCGAGGAGTGAGCTCTAAGCAAACAGTCCCGCCCTGGATTTCATTAAGAAATTGCTCTGTTTGCTTTCGTTCACGTAAAATAACAAACTTTCTTATTATATCATAGCCTGACCCAGTTTTTAAAACTAAACATAGAGGTTGTCATAAGGTAACATATCTAGATGTTTTCTAAGGAGTTAAAATTTAGAATAAAGTTAAATTTTTAAGCAAAAACAAGTCTGAGACCCAGTTCGGGTGTTGAGATAATAGTAAGGAGTAGGGAGCAAAATTTCCGGTTCTAAATCCTACTTTTTCTAGGCTATATCCAAACCCAAATAAATAAATAAATGGAAATAAATTCAAAACATAAGCAGACACCTGAGAGCTTTAGTTAAATGACTGCTTTTGTGCCTTTCAGCTGGCAGCTAAAGCTGTATGTGAGAGAGGCGAGAGAGAGAGGCCATTATGCATTGCTTTATACTCTATGTGCAGTACTTGTGTGTACTGTACACTTGTGTGTGTTTACATTAAAAAAGACTGACATTCACCATAGTAAGAGTCTTTCTAAGTAATGAAAAGCATGAAAGTCTCTCTCTTTGTCCAAATGAGTGTGTGTGTGTTTGTGTGTGTCTGAAAAGGAGAATGGGAGCAAAAGTGATCTACAGAGAGGTCAGTGTGTGTGTGTATGCATGTGTGTGTTTGTGAGACATCAGAGCATAGCTCTTCAAAAGAAAGCCTCCAGGCGATTACACAGCACTGATGACAACAGGAGAGAAGCCAGTGACACTACTTTATATTTTTTAGCTAAAGTTAATATTTTGAGTTTTATTTATTTAACAATAATACTTTGAGTTTGAGGTGTCTGGAGACATTCAACTTAGGAAACGACAAATTGAAGACATAGAAATAAACAAAAAAACAAAAAAAGAAGAAAACTATTCTGAATTCCTGTGCTGCCGTGGTTTTGATGCCACCCTGAATGGGGAGCCATACTAGTATAAACTTATCCAAAATCCACTTCATCTTCTCACAAAGTCTACATCTACATTTTCTTAAGAAATCCACATGGATTTATTTAAAAAAAAAAAAAAAAAAAAGTTTTTGCAGTGTATTTAAATAAGCTCTCAATCACAAACGAAATTTGAAAATAGTTTTCGCAATATCTGCATTTGAATAACTTCACCAATATATTTTACTTTAATTAGTAAAACAAACAAATAAATTATCAGTTTAGCACTTTTCCACTCCCAAAGTGCAATACTTTTTGTGGTGTCACTGTGGTGGGCTCGGTAGAGGAGAAACATTCAGTTGTTTTACCTCCAACACCTACAATCACAGACAAACGTGTTCAAAAGGTCTCATTAAGCCACATTGTCCCCAGTGAAACTGACTGTAGCATTACAGCCATAGGGCTCAGGTGACCTGAGCAGGCAGTGATTTAGTTGAGTGATTTAAGGCATTACAGGGTTGAATGTACAATAATCCCCTTTTGGCCACCTTCCCAAAAACTCAACACAGGACTGTAATCCAGAATAATAACTGTGGTACTCATGGCTGCTCGCAGTGACAGTAATAAATCGAAGAGTTAGAGTTATTGTTTAAACTGAGTCTGCACCGAAACCATAGCAACACTATTTTTTATTTTTTTACTTTTAGAATAAAGATATGTTTGCAGAAAGAAAAAGAGCGATTACACAAAGGAACCCACAGGAAAGAGGATTATTATATCAGGCATACACGCCCGATCTGAGTGGTTGTTTTCATCAGAACAAAGACAAAAACAAAAAGACACCCGACAACATTAAGAATCTCTGTGCACGATCTAATAAAACGAGGCTAAATCACAGGTGAACCTGGAACGGAGACGAGTATATGCAGTAGGAAATGACTGGAAACATCACAAATAGGCCTGTCACAATAAGAAATGTCAATTAATTGCTTGATAAATTAAAATAGATTCAATAACTTCAATTTGCATTGTTTATTTCTGTCTTTCTACTAAAAACTGGGTGATAAAAGTCTTCATTCTGGTGCTTTGGTCTCAACTGGCCCTTTTTTTGAAGGTCAATTTTGATTACAGAGTCGCTACAATTCATTTTAGTTAGTTGCTTCTGTTGTTTTGTTTATTTTGGATACTTAAAATGTCTTCCACTTCCAGTGTTAAATGTTCATCGGAATTGAACATCTTTAAGAATGGGGTCTTGCATTATTATGGCACTGCCGTTATATTATTATTTGAAATTGGTCTCAAAACAATATTATCGTCTATAGCAATAACCTCCGGGACAATTCATCGTCCAGCAAAACTTGTTATTGTGACAGGTCAGGTCACAAAGTTGCGTCACATGCTTATTGGTCAAGCATGTGTATGTATGTGTTCTTTTGGGATTAGTTATGATTGTCAAACTTTTGCGGCAGTCCATAAGAGAAGAAAATGTAAATGTTAAGATATTTCATTATACGAGTCTAAGGGATGGTAGATGTGTAGATTATATTGAAAGGGCGCTAACCAGAAGACATAATGATATTACTTGACCTCTACAAAACCCAGTCCGCTCTGCTTCTGCTCCATTTTCCATACCCTTCACCTTCTCTATGTTTGTTTTAGAAAACAGCCAGTTCTAACTTGCGCAGCTTCTTTCTCCTTTTCAGTAGTCTAGTGGCGGTTGCTTCGTGGTAACAGTTTGCAATACAAGCACAAATTGACACCAACTTTTTATGGTCAATTTGGCTTTGCATAAGAGCTCCGATTTTACAAAGCCCCTTTTAAGCTGTAAAATAAACAAGTTAATTCCAAATTATACTTGTGCCGCTTTCACTGCACCTCTCTTACACCACAGCTTGAGATGATAATAAAATTACGCGGCAGGAACGTGCAGCAATCCTGCTAGCTGTTCTCTCGATTTTAATGAGTTTTATTAATCCTTTTTAGTGTTTTAAGGGATGAAGTGCATTTCAACAAACAAAAAGACATATTTATCTGTGCAACAAAATAAAGAGTCAAATTGGAGTCTAAGTGTGAAAGAATTGGTGTGTACATAAAAAAATATATACATAATATTCAGATTGAAGTTCGATTAAAGCGCACTAATTACTGAAAATGATTTCTACTTTTAAATGATAAATAAACCTTTCTTTTAGAGATTCATTTTGTAACTTTCTTCAAATTCCTAAGTCAACATACAGTTGTTCAGTGCTAGGGATAATTGTCTTTTAAGGACTTGGAACAATCCTTTTGGGTGCATGTGTCTTTTTATTCTATGTATGTAGATATCTGGTTTCAACTATTTGATGTCATAATACGTCCTTCATGATCAAACATGGAAGCTTTAAGCTTATGAATCTATAAGTCACTCATGAAGTCATTTGTTTGCTCCCTCTTGATAACAACAGATTAGGGTAAAGATGGAGAAACAAGAACAGTAGAGAGATAAATTAGCCACCTGACTGCTGATGTCATCCATCTTGAATAACGCACCATCAGTTTGCTTGCCGACAGCAGTCTCTATTGACAACGATCCAAACCATCAATTCCCTAGATTTGCAGCCATTCCCCTTAGGATTGACTATCACCAACGTTAACAAGAATGAGAGCTTTGAGTCCTGATTCAGGGCCTCTGCAACCTAACCCTTAGGATTTTGTTTACGCTCCAGTTTGTGTCCGGCTGACGACACAGAAAGCCTTGCCAGAAATAGAAAAGTACATCTGAGCCCAAAAGGCAGCAGAAAACAAATCTGTTTATTCAGAGGCTCCGAAAAGACTCACAAGCACATCATCGCCTTACATTATCATAGCCCCATGTTTATAAGGCCGTAAATCAGGCACAATTTGCCAAATAAACGTTATTGAATAACTGGA